CCCTTATTTTACTAATCCACCTGCTTTAATAGTTGCTTCAGAACATTCCATGGGTCCCATGACTAATATATTAAATGCCAACCCTCTTAGCCTGGCCCCTGACTCCCTTTCCAGCCTCCCTTTCACTGCTTCCTCATACAGTCCTTGTTCTTCAGCCAAACAGGACTGCTTTTCATTTCTAACACACAGCTCTGTTCTCCTACCTCCATTTCCTCATTCATATTCTTTCCTGTTCTTGTAATGCCTTTCCTCCCATCTTCACCTTAAGAAATTTTATCCACCTTTCAAGATCTTTCTCATGCTAGATCATGAAGCCTTCATGAAGGTGATCAGGAAGGCTTCATCTTCCTGAAGCCTCCAGCCAGAATTATTTCTTCCTCCTCACAACTCTTTGTCACTCATCCTAATAATGCCCTAATGGCACTTACTACCTCCCACATGGTCTATTCAAAGATGTTATTTAATGGACAACATTTCAGGGTTGCTTTTACTTTGTTTAATCCTGAAGCAGCCAGTAAACTGCACAGAGCACAGAAACCAGATACAGAGGCAGGTTGTGGGGGAGAAAGCAGCTCCCACTGACCCCTTGTACCTGGTAGAGGCATACTGCAACTCAGTGACAGGGCCGACATGGAATGAGATGTCTCATAGAATTGTAGACTCAATAACTTTTATAACCCAAGGCTCTTCATCATCCAGAAACAACTTATACTATACATAAGGCAATAGTTTTGCTACTCTGCCAGCCACATCACCAGGGCCTAACGTCCAGGCTCCAGGCCTGGAAATGTGTGCTTTGCATTTGGGGCAGGGGCTTTTTTTCCATATAGCTTCCCTTCTCTTAATTTTTCTTTGGCAGCCTGTATGGCCCACCATATCATATACGTACTTGTTTTACATTTATTTATGAACACATCTGTCATCTCATGAAATTACCAGCTTCCCAAGAACAAAAATATTGTTTTCTTTTTCATTTGTTTTTTTCTTTCTTTCTTTTTTTTTTTTTTTTTTTTTTGAGACGGAGTTTCACTCATGTTACCCAGGCTGGAGTGCAATGGCGCGATCTCGGCTCACCGCAACCTCCGCCTCCTGGGTTCAGGCAATTCTCCTGCCTCAGCCTCCTGAGTAGCTGGGATTACAGGCACGCGCCACCATGCCCAGCTAATTTTCTGCAGTTTAGTAGAGACGGGGTTTCACCATGTTGACCAGGATGGTCTCGATCTCTTGACCTTGTGATCCACCCGCCTCGGCCTCCCAAAGTGCTGGGATTACAGGCTTGAGCCACCGCACCCGACCTTTCTTTCTTTTTTAATTTACAGACCCAGGAACTTGAAAAAATCTTGCTTTCATCATTTCTGTATCCCTTATGGCACAGAAAGAAGTGTTACATTTGAAACTGAAATTATAGTCAGCATATATATATATACATATATGTGTGTGTGTGTGTGTGTGTGTGTGTGTGTGTGTGTTAAATGAACATTTAAGAAATAATTGTTGGCTGGGCACAGTGGTTTACACCTGTAATCCCAGTACTGTATGAGGCAGAGGCAGGCGGATCACATCAGGAGATTGAGACCATCCTGGCCAATATGGTGAAACCCTGTTTCTACTTAAAAATACAAAAATGTGCTGGGTATGGTGGCGCATGCCTGTAATCCCAGCTACTTGGGAGGCTGAGGCAGGAGAATCACTTGAACCAGAGAGTTAGAGGTTGCAGTGAGCCGAGATCGCACCACTGCACTCCAGCCTGGCAACAGAGCGAGACTCCATCTCAAAAAAATAATAATAATTGTTGACTTGATTTTTCTGGATCAAGGAAAGGGAGAAACTACATATCATTACATATGTGAAGTATATCCTTCAGTATAATGAATTCTGAAAGATACTGTACCTGTGACAAAAATTACCTTACTATAGTTCTATGCCCACAGTTTAGCTCCAGATCAATACAAGTATCACAAAGATTTAGCCCAACTCCTCATGGGACAGTGGTCTTCGGCTCCACATACTGTTTTGCATCATATTTAAAGAAATTAGAAGACTCCAAACTGAGTCACTAGATGATTACAAATACCAGGAAGCAAGGGGAAGCACAAAGGGGAACAGGAAAAGGGGTTTTCTCCAGACTTTGCCTTTTCATTCAGGAAAGACTATCCTCCCCAGCATGTTTAAAGAAATTAGAAGACTCCAAACATTGAGTCACTAAATTATTACAAATACCAGGAAGGCAGGGAATACACAAAGCGGAACCGGAAAAAGGGGCTTTCTCCTGACTTTGCCTTTTTCTTCAGGAAAGACCACCCTCTCTAGAAACTTCCACCTACATGTTGACCAGAACTGTGTCACAGGATGCTCCCTAGCTGCAAGGAGGACAAGTATTTTTGACTGGGCTCATTAGCAAACAAAATTGAGGTTCTATTGTTAAGAATGAAGGGGAAATCATTGATATAGGGTAGGCAAATAGCAATGTCTGCCTCATATACCAGAAGGCAAAATTCTCTCACGCTCTAATAAATATCACATATTTGTTACCAATAAGACATTATGTGCTGCCTCAACATTTAAGTCATAATAATATATTCTCCTCTTACAAAACAACTTAGTTTAACATTCCATCAAACAGAAATCACCATCAGGGTAAGTATACTCAAATGTTGCAAAAATAATTCTTACATTAATTAGAATTTAGGGGCACACCTGAGAAGAGTTCTAAGTTCTCATGGAGTCTGTGTGTTGATGACTTTGATTCGAGAACAAGTAATAGAGATAAGACTCAGTATTCAGACCTTCCTTGAAGGCATCAACATGAAAGGTTTTCTTTAAATGACTTTTGTCATGGCCTTCTTAGGAGTCTCTGCAAAGCCCTGAGCAGAAATAATGCCTCCCAGATCCTCCATGCAGGGCTTACCAGAATCTGTATTTTGCCGATATCTCCCAAATGACTTCTCTCATCACCTAATACAGTCCTTTTCCTAATGCCATATCAAACTCTTAGCCAGTCTCTCAGCTCACCACTCTGAAGCTTGTGGGCCTCACCTAGGTTTGGCACCTGCCTCTCTCCCTGTTGCATCTCCTGCCCCTCTTTTCACCCACTGCACTTCAGCCACACTAGTCTTTGCCAGTTCAAAAACACAGTTTATTCTCTGCTTAAGACTTTTGTAACAGCTCCTCCCTCTGCCTGATATGATCATCCCAATCTTCCCACAGTCTTCAGACTGAGCTTAAATGACGCCTCCCTGAAGAGGCCCTCCCACTCTCCCACTCTTCCACTCTCCATTCTAAGGTCACATCCTCACTCCACCTACCACCAGCACCTCCACCCTGCTTAGATTCTCCCAAAGTACATCTCACTACTTAATATTTTTCTAGCCCAGTTATTTTCGTCTCTCCTACTAGAATGTTAGAATTGCAAGAAAAGAGATCTTGTCTGTTTTAATCACTGTTGTATCTTCAGGACTGGAACAGTACGTGGCACTTAAATATTCCTTTAGTGTGTACTGAATGTTTATACTACTCCTGAGAAGAATAAGCATAAGAGGAAGAAGATGAATCTGGCAGTCCTGGAATACTGTAAGGTGGGTGAGAATGGCAAAATAAGTCACCTTCATCTAGAGTGCTCTTCAGATGAATGTGGTGCTGGAGCGTTTATGACCAGCCACTTTGACAGACGTTATTGTGGCAAATGTCTCATGTACTGCTTCAGCAAACCAGAAAACAATTAATTGTGTATGAATTAATAAAAGACATGAACTAACACAACATATTGACTAAATGGATAAATGTATTAATAATTAAATGTCACTCCTCTGCCTAGAACATCCTTTTCTATGATCTCCCCGTCATCCTTAAAGTCACTGATCCTGGGTCACTGATCCTAGGCCCTGCAACTTGTCTGATTTAAATGTCTTTTTTGTTCCTGTAGTGCCTTCTTTAGACTGGCATTAATTATATGTATTGTAGTTCTTTTTAACTTTTTTAAAATTGTATTGTATTTCTTGATTACGTGTCTGTTTTTCCCTCAGGCACAAGCTACATGTGGGCAAAGTTCAGTTTTGTCACTTCTGAAACACACATGTAACACTTTTGTGCAAATTAGAAACAGAACACCAAGCCTGATGACTGTTTATGAGCCAGAATCCAGTCACCAATCTCCCTTCAGCAAGAAACAACCTATACATCTGTACATAGTGGCCCAGATAGATAATAACTGTGTATGTTTAATTGAATGAGGGAGTGAATTTCCTCTGTATCTTAGTAGTTTTTCTAAAAGCAATGGAACTAATGTAGGAAAAAGTATGAGGCTAACATTTATTGAAAATCTACACTGCCACTGTCCTATACTGTTTTCACAACTCTCATATAATTCTTATAGCAATCCTATGCGATAAAGATTAGTTTTACCATTTTGTGGATGAAGAAATGAGCTCAGAGAGGTTTTGCAACTTCCCCAAGGTCATACGATTGGTAAACAGGGAGCCTGTGATGAAAACCTATGCCTATCTGATTCCAAGTTTGCCCCTAGATGGCCTTGGCCACATGGGAACCTGACTGCTTGTTCCCAGGAGTCATGGGTTTTCTTGTTTGCTTTTTTTATAATATCAACTTTTATTTCAGATTCAGGGTGTACATGTGCAGGTTTGTTACATGGTTGTGTTGCATGATGCTGAGGTTTGAGATATGAATGATCCCGTCACCCAAGTAGTGAGCATAGTATACAATAGTTTTTCTTTTCTTTTTTTCTTTTGAGATGGAGTTTCACTCTTATTGCCCAGGCTGGAGTGCAATGGCATGATCTCGGCTCACTGCAACCTCTGCCTCCCAGGTTCAAGCATTTCTCCTGCCTCAGCCTCCCAAGTAGTTGGGATTACAGGCATATGCCACCACACCCGGCTAATTTATTATTTTTAGTAGAGATGGAGTTTCTCCATGTTGGTCAGGCTGATCTTAAACTCCCAACCTCAGGTGATCCACCAACCTCAGCCTCCCAAAGTGGTGGGATTACAGGCATGAGCCACAGCGCCTGGCCCCCAGTAGTTTTTCAACTCTTTCCCTTCTCCTTCCCTCCTGCCTCTAGTAGTCTCCCCAGTGTCATTGTTGCCATTTTTATGTCCAGAGTCATGAGTTTTGTTTGTAATCCTTCGAGAAAAGACCCAGTGAAGTTAAATCTTGCCTTGTTTCCCTTTTTTTTAAGAGTCTCTTGATCCCTAGTATTAGTATACAGGCGACATTCAATTATTGACTCCCTGATGATTGTTTGCCAGTGTAAGTTTTTTCTGATATATCTAAAACTTTAGCAGAATTTTATTACTAAACAGTAATGTTATTCCATCAAATAATTTTTTACATGGATTATCACTTGTTATGTTTTAGATTGCATTGTTTTCTTAATATGTTTGCAATTTTTGTTTTATTGCCAAGAATGGTGATAATACAGCATGCTAAATTTGAGATCCCTGTTTGTTAAGAAATGATACAGTAGGCAAATTTAGTTAGAACTGTTTAAAGCCTGAAGATATATTTTGTTTGCTTTTTTCTTTTTGTTGTGTAGAAGATACTTCTTTGTAGTTGTCAGTTTTGAAATTACATGCACTTTCTCTAATGAAATTTCTGACAAAAGACACTAAGAGTAATGTTCTGTTGTCTTCTAAAATGGGAATGTTGCTCATCTTATAACTTTGCAGTATTATCAATAATAAAATATGAGAGTGTGTTAGCAGGATACCGTGAGCCAGAAGTACCATAATACACACAGCCAAACTAGGAGGGTTATGACACATTGTGTTGGAAGAACTTTTTATGGCAACAGCATAAATTATTTTTCTGTTGAACATAGGGAATGTCATTGGACTTTTCCATTTGGATATCCTCTGACTCTTCATACCAAACATAACCAAAATGAACTTGCTTTTTACCAACCTCTCTACATCTCTACATTCTACAACCAGTTTTTTTTTGTTGTTGTTGTTTTGTTTTTTAGAACTACAAGAAAAGAGATCCTGTCTATTTTATTCACTGTTGTATCTTCACTACTGGAACAGTACATGGCACTTAGATATTCCATTAGTATTTACTTAATGTTTACACCACTCCTGAGAAGAATAAGCTTAAGAGAAAGAAGGCGAAGCTGGCTGTCCTGAAATACTGTAAGGTGAATAAGAATGGCAAAATAAATCACCTTCATCCAGAGTGCTCTTCAGTTGGATGTGATGCTAAAGCCTTTATGGCTAGCCACTTTGATAGACATTATTGTGACAAATGTCTTACTTATTGCTTCAGCAAACCAGAAGACAATGAATTGTGTATGAGTGAATAAAAGACATAAACTAACAAAATATATTTACTGAATGGATAAATGTATTAATAATTAAATATCACTCCTCTGCCTAGAATATCCTTTCCTACAATCTCACCATCATCCCTTAAACATACTATTTTCAGCTGATCTCCTGAGCGACCCAGATAACTATACTTTAGCCAACCCCCTCAATACCACACCGTGTGGGGGGATTTTTTTTGAAACAGAGTTTTGCTCTCGTCACCCAGGCTAGAGTGCAATGATCTGATCTTGGTTCACTGCAACCTCCACCTCCTGGGTTCAAGGAATTCTCCTGTCTCAGCCTCCCAAGGGATTACAGGAATGCACCACCACACCCAGCTAATTTTTGTATTTTTAGTAAAGAAGGGGTTTCACCATGTTGGCCAGGCTAGTCTCAAACTCCCAACCTGAAGTGATCCACCCACCTCGACCTACCAAAGTGCTGGGATTACAGGCAGAGCTACCGCGCCCGGACTTTTTTGTTTGGTTGGTTGGGTTTTTTTTTTTTTTTTTGTAGACAGATCTCCCTCTGTCATCCAGGCTGGAGTACAGTGGTGCCATCACAGGTCCCTGCAGCTTTGACCTGCTGGGCTCAAGCAATCTGCCTGTCTCAGCCTCCTGAGTAGCTGTGATACAGACACATGTCACCACACCCACCTAATTTATTTATTTATTTATTTAGAGATGGGGTCTTGCTGTGTTGCCTAGGCTAATCGCAAACTCTTGAGCTTACGCAATCCTCCCACCTCAGCCTCCCAAAGTGCTGCGATTACAGGTGTGAACCACCACACCCAGTCTTCAGCCAGTTCTTGTTCCCAGCTTTCTCTTTGTGGTAGTACTAATCTTATGGCCAACAACCAGAGAATCTTAAATACTTGAAAAATTCTTAAGGGGTGATCTACTTCTGTCTCATCTAGGAAACTATTGACAACATGATTAAGATCCAAGGCTCTAACTAAGTATTCCAGGGTTCAAACCCTGGCCATACTATTTGCAATGGATTCTTGAGCAAGTAACTTCACTTTCCATGCCTTGGTTTTAATGTGGCTAATGATAGAACCTATTTCATGTGGCTGGAATGAGGAATACATGACAATACATGTAAAGCCTTAGCCCAGTACTCAGCACATAGTAAACAATTAACGTTAGCCATTAATATTAGTAAGCAGATATTAATCCATTTTTTCTTAACTTTGCCAGTGCTAGGATTCACACAACCCTTCAGGGTAGCTCATTCCAACAGTGGATAGTTGTCATTTTTTGAAAAGTCTTAATTCCTTCAACAAACATTCTTCAGATGCCCACTATGTACCAATGTTCTAGAGCATGAGAACAAAGAGATGACTGAAAATAGAGTGTTTGTCCTCATAAAGTCCCTAGTCTAGCAAGAGAACTCAGCACCAGTTGGCCTGTGGCTGTCTGTCCCTCTCAGCCCATCTGGAGATGACTCTTGCTTCTCTCCTGACTGATCAGCTTTCATTACCCACCCCCAAGGACATGACCAAAGAGGTCCCTCCCCTCTACCACTAAGCAATGAGTTCATAGGCTCCTTAGAGAGTCCAGTCATCACTCCTGGAGCAAGTCAGCTTGCCGCAGTGAACCTCCATTTCCTTATCTCAAAATGGGAGTCAATAATCCCTGCCCTATTGATGTCACTGGACTGTCATAAAAATGACATCATCATGCAAAAGTCTTTGTAACCTGCCAAGTACTCTATGATGATGAGATACTCCTTATATTAAACCAAAGAAAGAAATGACTCTCCTAAAGATGTAATTTTACACATCAGTAAGCAAGGGAAGATCTTTTGGCTGGGAATTGATAAAGCGGTTAAGAGGAGAAATTTACTAAGCCCCAGATCATACCAGCATTGCTCCTAAAAATCTTATTGGAGTTATGCTGGAGGGTCACCAAGTTTTAGATCCAGACAGACAGAACTAGGCAAAATGCCTTATCAACCACTTACTAATTTGGCGAGTATGTGCAAGTTCCTTAATCTAAGCTATATGAATGAGGAATATATGAAACAGTACATGTAAAGCACTTAGCCCAGTACTCAGCACATATAGTGAACAGTTAATGTTAGCCATTAATATTAGTAAGCAGATATTAATACATTTTTTTTTAAACTCTGCCACTGCTAGGAATCAACACAAGTCTTCAGGGCCGCTCATTCCAACACTGGATAGTCATCATTTTTGGAAAAGTCTCAGTTCCTTCAACAAACATTCCTCAGGTGTCAACTATATACCAACCATGTTCTAGAGCACGAGAACCTAGAGATGCCTGAAAGTGGAGTATTTGGCCTCATATAGTTCCTAGTCTAGCAAGAGAGCTCAGCATCATTTGTAAATCAGATTCCCTCTCTTTGGAATTCAGAATTAGAACTGAGAGACACTCAAACAGTCTGGACTGTCTTCTGAGCAAAGAATAAGAAGTAGCTATCATCTGCCCACCACAGACATGAAAAAATAAGAAAGACAGTTTGTGGAGAGGAGAGAATGAAACAGGACTGTAGACAGAAGTAGAGACAAGAAATGGATCTTCCCATCTTGTCATGGGCTTCCACTTCCAAGTAAGCAGAACTGCCAGAGACTCAACTGAATTCCTGCCTTAGGCTTCCAGGGGATGCCCTGAACTTTTTTTTTTGGGGGTGGGGGGATGGTGTCTTGCCTCTTGCCCAGACTGGATGGTAGTGATGAGATGACAGCTCGCTGTGGTCAGGTGACCCTCCTCCTGAGGCTCAGGTGACCCTCCCACCTCAGCCTCCAAAGCTGCTGGGACTACAGGTGTGCACCACCATGCCCAGCTAATTTTTGTTTTTGTTGTTGTTGTTATTGAGACAGGGTCTCACTCTATCGCCCAGGCTAGAGTGCAGTGGCACGGTATCAGCTTACTGCAAACTCTGCTTCCCGGCTTCAAGCAGTTCTCCTGCCTCAGCCTCCCAAGTAGCTGGGATTACAGGCATGCACCACCGTGCCCAGCTAATTTTTGTATTTTCAGTAGAAACAAGGTTTCACCACATTGGCCAGGATGGTCTCAATCTCTTGACCTTGTGATCCGCCCACCTCAGCCTCCCAAAGTGCTAGGATTACAGGCATGAGCCACTGTGCTCAGCTTAATTTTTATATTTTTTGTAGAGACAGGGTTTTGCCATGTTTCCAAGGATGATCTAGAACTTCTGGACTCACTCTATCTGCCCACCTTGGCCTCCCAAAGTATTAGGATTACAGGGGTGAGCCACTGCACCCAGTGTGAACTTTTAAAATAAACTCTTTCTTATGCTTAAGTTAGTTCCAGGCAGTTTCTATTTCTTGCAAGCTGGAGTAGTTTACAGTTTCTCCTAATAATCCTCTGTTTCCTTGATTAGTATCTCTTGGAGTTCCAGAAAACTGTCCAGGCATTTGCAAGTAGGACTTTAAAAGCCTATCTTTTATGCTCAGATGAAAGGCAGTAGGAAGTAGGAACAGATTCTCCAACACTTTGGAGGCATGTTAGCACCTTTCTAAATTATGGAGAACACGTGAACTGCCAGATTTCATTCATCATCACTGATATTTGTTGTGAACCAATCCAGCCAAAAGAATTCTGAACAGACACTTTAAAAACCTATGCCAAACTGAATTGACCATACCAAACTATCACACTGAAAAATCTATTTAAAATAGTCTTACAATTTAATTATGTTAATTGTTTTATTAAAATCAAGAGAGAAAAGTAGCTATTTATCAAACTGCTGAGACTGCTAGAAGATTTATCAGCCTTATATAAATAAGATACACTTAGTAAATATTTTCAACCATTCAAGAAAGGCTTTTGTGGCCCAGTGCCATGGCTTACGCCTATAATCCCAGCATTTTGGGAGGCCGAGTCAGACAGATCACCTGAGGTCAGGAGTTTGAGACCAGCCTAACCAATATGGTGAAACTCCATCTCTACTAAAAATACAAAATTAGCTGGGCGTGGTTGTGAATGCCTGTAGTCCCAGCTACTCTGGAGGCTGGCAGGATAATCGCTTGAACCCAGGAGGCAGAGGTTGCAGTGAGCCAAGACTGTACCACTGCACTCCAGCCTGGGAGACAGAGTGAGACTTCATCTCAAAAAAAAAGAAGAAAGGCTTTTGAAATTAATTTATTGCAGACATCATTGATTTCCTGCCCCAGATCCATCTTACTCTCTTCCTTATTCTCAGAACCTCAATTTTGTTCGGATATCCAACCTCCTTTGAGGGGCCACGTGCTTCAGGGGAAGGCTGGACCTACCCCAGCTCCAGGGGTTGGGTCATAATTGATTCATCTTATAAATGATTGGTTTATTTTTGGGCACAGAACACAGTTCTAGCCATTGAGGTCTAAAAATTGAGGGCTTGAGGGACAGATTTCTCCTTTCCAAGAGAAATACAAATGAACAGATGGTCTTGTATTTCTCTGGATGTTGTCATTTATGACTATAAAGGCAAACAAAGCTAATACCAAGAATAGCAAAAGAGAAGGGTTAAAGAACGTAGATGAGGTTTTGAGTCACTCAATTAACCAGGCACCACCTACCATCCCCTACCCCTAGACCACTTATGTGATTATAATAAATGCTTTTAATATTTAAATCAATTTGAACTGGAGATTTCTGTGGCTTGGGGCTGAAAGCATCTCAACTGATACTGTTATATCTAACAATCTCTTCAAGATGATGATAGCATTTGGCACTTTCTAACAGTCTTATTTGCATTGAGAAATGAGTTAAGGAAAAAATAATTCCCCAACTATTCCCCCACTACCCTTAAAAGTCCCGTATGTTCCAAGAAAGAAAATGTCTTTGAAATCCTCTCTCTTGTT